TAAATACCACTTAATAACCTCTCAGCTTTCCTCCACGAAGAAGAAAAATTCCATCATCATTAAATATTGATTTAGCCTCTGAGCAATTCCTGTTAAAACCCAGAAGTATTCAATGAGCATGTCTGCATTTTCACATCATTTAATTTCCCTCTAGTTATACTGGAAGATCAGTAGGAATCTTCTTCTGTTCTTTTAGGAGATGTCTTTGTTACCCAGAGACACTTCAGCTCCTGTCTGTTGCCCTCACTCCTCTGTCTCAGATGCAGTTAGGGCACCCCAGGGGACTCTGGTGTCACTTGTCCTTGCTCAGGTCTGTGTGTGAAGGATTTCCACTGTGTTGTGCTGGCAAGAACAGCACAGATACTCAATTTTGGCTTTCCCAATTGCTAACAGAGCCCTTTGTGCACTTCAGGGGGGTGGTTTATGTCTGCAAGGCCTGGCACTTATTCCAGGAGATCTCAGTGATCTGGGAGCCAAGGTGCAGACAGCACATCCCCATCACTGTCTCCTTTTTGAGAGGTCAGCCAGCTCTGGAGCAGCTCTGCCAGGTTTGAATATGGGTTACATTTAAGTGACATGTTCAGGAGTGTTTCTGCCTAGATTGTTGGTATAAAAGTTGGAATTTCAGCAGCTTGGTAAGAATTTTAACTGTGGTGTGGTACAGTCTGGTGGATGTAATGCTGCTTCTCCCTGGGTGCAGGGCTGGGTTGTGTCACACGAGTCACCAGCTCCCTCTGTGTAGTTCTCTCATCTCAGAGTCCATTTTTGTCATTCTCCCATGTGTTTTCCATCCTGATAATTTTTCCTCATTTGCACCTGTCACGGGGTGCCTGAACCCCACTAGTCCCTATATTTATTTAGCACTGAAAGAAGACATGTCCTACTCTGATTCATGAGCACTGTGGCAAACTCCAAACTGTTCCAGATTTCTCTCAGGGTAATATTTTATTATTAAAATGATGGTTTGCTGTGTGTTTTGGTAATCTGATGGTACATTATTCACCAGAGTCTGTCTCCAATTACACTTCTTGGTTTGGCACAATACAAAGAGCATATCCTCTAATAAATTGTCTTCCTTTTTTTTTTATTTCCAAGGTACTGCACAGATGAAAATCAGACATTTCCTCAGCCATTCATGCTGGAGAACCACATCAGCCTCATGCACGGCATCAAAAACCCAGACTTATCCCAGATGGCCAAAGTGAAAGCTCCAGAGAGAGACAGAGCAGAAGTAACTGATCCCTATTTTCATGGAAAATTAAATGTACAATTAAATGTCCTTGGCTAGTAGCTGTTCATTTGGGGTGTTATGTCGAGCTGTGGCCTCGTGCCAGTCAAACCCTCCCACCCATGGGGCAGATCTCCTTCCCTCTCTCAATTCCATCCAGCCTGGTTCCCTCTGCTAGGGTCAGGCTCAGCAGTGTCAGTGCAGCTGAGCTGCACCAGCTGCAGGACAACATGCATTTCATCTTGCATTTCTCAAGATTTTTCTCTGGCATTTATTCAGTCTATTTTGTAATTTAAGTTTGTTTTTACCCTTGTTTTCCCCTGGTACCCTGTTCACGAGCATGGCACATTTTTCTTCTTTCTCCCTTATTTTTTCTGCTACTTATAAAAGATTTATTTTCTGTTTTAAAGTACTTGCTAGATCCATTACCTATGAGAACTGCATTTTTCTTAAGTAGGAATATGTAATTTTGTATAGCAGCTGTAACTGTTCTACTGATTTTTGTTTTGGATTGGAGTGGAGGGTTGGCTGCTTGGGCTTCTTAGTTCCATTTATTTTAAAAATACACATTTTGCATATCACTGCAGGGACATATTTAAGCAAGTCATCCTCAAAGGAGAAGAAGCTGCAAGATTTTAAGATAGAGAGGATGAGTTACTGAGAGATGCCACAAAGACAAAATCTGAGTGGAAGGGAGAATGTTCAGAGTTTAATCTGAGAAGCATTTTCTGGGCTGTTGACCACCCCTGTGTCCCTCAGCTGTCCCTCTTCTGTGGGCTCCTCCTTCCCACACCAAACCAAATTTTTACCCAGAGAGGTCATGGCTGCCCCATCCCTGGCAGTGCCCAAGGCCAGGCTGGACAGGGCTTGGAGCACCCTGGGATAGTGGAAGGTGTCCCTGCCCATGAGGGGGTGGCACTGGATGAGTTTTAAAGTCCCTTCCAACCCAACCCATCTCACGATTCCTTGATTCTAAACTATTTCCCCATCATGTTTGTGCCCAGCCAGCCTCTCCCAGCGTTCCCATCTCACATCATGGGGCAGCAGCTGAAATCCTGAGCACTGGTGAGGTGTTTGGGTGTGGGGAGGGAAGGGAATGCCCCAGGAGTGACTGCCCTAGGCATGACTTCACCCTCAGGCATCTCCAGACTCACGTGTGGATTTTAGCACTTACTCTTCCATGGGTTCAAATGATAAAGTAACTTTTTAATCTTATTTTTTTAAGGCAAAATCTCCAAAGAGGATGGCACAGGATGAGCTGGGTGAGGCAGAGAGCGCTGCGGGTTCGGACGCGCCGCCAGCCAAAAAACTGAAAGCGCCTTGGAAATGCGCAAAGTGCGGCTTTGCCACGGACGTCCGGACTGAGTTCCAGGAACACATCCCTCGGCACAAGAGCGACAGCTCCACCTTCCAGTGCTTGTTCTGCGGCCTCTGCTACACCTCCCACATCTCTCTGAACAGACACCTCTTCATCGTTCATAAAGTCAAAGATGAGGAGGAGGAGGATGAGGAGGAGGAGGAGGAGGAGGGGGATGAAAGGCAGAAGTTACAAATAGAGATGGGTAAGAATGGACACGAGGACTACAATGGCGAGTTGAACACTACGGTGGAAGAGGAGAACAAATACAAAGAGTGCAAAAGGGACTCAGCTCTTTGTGAGCACAGTCAGACGTGTGGAGCAGAAGGCCCCAACAGCACCTCACAGAACAATCATTCAAAGTCTCTTAAGACTTAAAAGCAAAAAAAAAAGCCCTTTTGGTTGATTGAGGGTTTTTTGTTGGGGGGTTTCTACTCAAAATACAGGGTGGGGATGGGGCAAATCTTTGAAATATTCTGTTGATTTCTTGAGATGGACATTGCAACTCCTATTTGTAAGGGAAATTTAAACAGAAAAAAAACAAAACCAACCCTGCCATTGCATCCTAAGCACTAACTCTCTGCCAGCCCAGAGAGGTGAAAAGGGAAAGCAGGGCCAGAACCCTCAGTGGGGTTTGGCCAGCTCCTGAGGATCCAGGAGCACTTTGCAGCTGCAGTTTCCTTCAGATGAGCTCTCCTCCTTTGAGTGTGCACCGCCTCAGCCTCTGCCCAGAGTCCCAGCCTTGCCATCCCAATCTCCCTTTCTTTCTCCTTCTATTTATGGCTTCTTTTTTCTCTCCCCATCCTGCCTTTGTGTTACTCATTTTAACTCATAATGCTGGCTCAGCCAAACGCGCTTGTCAGGACCGTGCTGGCCGATCTGGGATCCGCGTTACACGGGATGGGCTCGAGCTGGAAGTTGTGCTGGTTATTCTTTAGTTACGCCCAAATAACAACATTCTTTTCCAAAGCGCAGTTTAATGAAATGTCTTGGACCTGAATCATCCTTGAAAGAGGATTTTGTGGCCCCAGTCCTCCTTGGTGAGTAGGGTGTTGAGAAGGGCCGTGCTGGCCGTGTGTCTGTGGAAGCCATCCTGGGCTGGGCATTGTCAGGCCCAGTGGCTCATCCCAGTGCGGAGCTCAGACTGGCACCATCACCAGAAGGGGATAAATCCCCCATCAGTGGGGTCAGCTGGAGTGAAACTATTCCAGAGCTCCCAATGTGTCAGTGCCAGGGCTCCCTGACAGCTCATTTTGAGGGGAGAGGAGCAGAGCTCAGCTCACAGAGGTGTTGGAACAGCGGGAGCCACCATCCTGCAGCCATCAGTATCTCCATAGCTCCTCTGCTGCTGTGGCTCAGCACTCCCATCCTTTAGGAGATGTTTCTTTCCATGTAGTCACATTGACTCTCTCTTTCCTCCCTCATTCCTTGTCACACCCATGCTTTGTGTAATACAATTACCTTCTATACCATTATTTTTTTTTTCATTCTGTTGAGCCAGAACTCCGCTTGTTATTGTTTACTCTGACAATGTTTAAATAATTTAAGAACTATTTATCTCCTTGCTTGGGCTCCTCACCATGTGGTCTCGTGATGCTTGGATACGGAGCTGTCTGGGTGCTGAATGATATATGTTGGTTGGACGAGTAAAGGCTGGATGTGGGGTGTCTGTAGGATGGGGGTGTCTGTAGGATGGGGGGTGGTGGGGAGGGCTGTCATAGGGGGTGTGAGTTGGATGAGATGTTGGCCGAATGGGGTGTGGAGTGTAAGGGATGTCGGTTGAATGGGGGTTTGGTTTGCTGTGGGTTTGATTTGATTGTTTGGTTCGGTGTGTGTTTGGTTCGTGTGTGTTTGGTTCGATGTGTGTTTGGTTCGATGTGTTTGGTTTGCTGTGGGTTTGGTTCTGTGTGTTTGGTTCACTGTGGGTTTGATTTGATTGTTTGGTTTGGTGTGTGTTTGGTTCAGCGTGTGTTTGGTTTGATGTGTTTGGTTCGATGTGGACTTGGTTCAGTGTGGACTTGGTTCAGTGTGGGTTTGGTTCAGTGTGGGTTTGGTTCGCTGTGTGGATTTGGTTCGATGTGGATTTGGTTCGGTGTGGATTTGGTTGGGTGTGTGTTTGGTTCAGTGTGGGTTTGGTTCGCTGTATTTGGTTCGATGTGGATTTGGTTCGGTGTGGATTTGGTTGGGTGTGTGTTTGGTTCAGTGTGGGTTTGGTTGGCTGTGTGTTTGCTTCGGTGTGTGGTTTGGTGTGGGTTTTGCTCGCTGTGTGTTTGTGTTTGTTTCAATGTGTGTTTGGTTCGGTGTGTGTTTGGTTCAATGAGTGTTTGGTTCCATGTGTGTTTGGTTCGCTGTGGGTTTGGTTTGATGTGGGTTTGGTTCGCTGTGGGTTTGGTTCGGTGAGTATTTGGTTCAATGTGGACTTGGTTCAGTGTGGGTTTGGTTCGATGTGTTTGGTTCGCTGTGGGTTTGGTTTGATGTGTTTGGTTCGGTGTGTGTTTGGTTCAGTATGTGTGTGGTTCCATGTGTGTTTGGTTCAATGTGTGTGTGGTTCCATGTGTGTTCCCTGGATGGGAGTGACTGGAAGAGGCACGGATGGACCTGGGCATGGGTTGGGCAGCTTTTGATGGAGCGGGGCGTCGCTGGATGCGGTGTTTGGCTGGATGGGTGCTGGTTGGAAGTGTGTGTTGTTGGCTGTGGGTGTTGCGCTGGCTGCGGGTGCCGGCTGCGCGGGGCGCTCCCGGCTGTGGCTGAGGCCCGGCCCCGCTCCGTTCCCGTTCCCGCCCCGGTGCCGATGCCCGCGCGGCGGAAGCGGCGGTGACGTGGCGGGCAGGCGGAAGCGGAAGCGGGGCCGTGCGGGCGCGGCGGCGGCGGTGGCGGCGGCGATGCTGTCGCTGGACTTTCTGGACGATGTGCGGCGCATGAACAAGCGGCAGGTGCCGGAGGGGCCGGGGGGGAACGCCGGGCGGGCGGGCGGGCAGGGCCGGTGCGCCTCGCGGTGCGCGGGCGGCGGGGCCTGACCCACCCTTGCTCCCCAGCTGTACTACCAGGTGCTGAACTTCGGCATGATCGTGTCCTCCGCCCTCATGATCTGGAAGGGGCTCATGGTGGTGACGGGCAGCGAGAGCCCCATCGTGGTGGTGCTGAGGTCAGTGCCGGCATGCGGGGGATTAAACCCAGCGGGTTTAACCGGGCCCCCCACAGGGATGGCTCAGCCGGAGCCACAGCCCCAGCGGGCCAGGAGCTCCTCAGGAACCCAGGCTCAGCAATAGCGAGAGAGGAGGGAGCGGGTAGAAAGAGCATCTCACCTGGCTCTGCCTGCTGGCTGGTAAGAGAGAGAGAGAGGGACTCTAGACCCGGTACAGCGGGGTGTGACAGGGACAGCCCTGCCAGAGGGCAGGGTTAGACGGGTCACTGTGAAGAAATCCTTCCCTGTCAGGGCAACAGGCCTGGGCACAAAGAGAAGCTGTGGCTGCCCCATCGCTGGAAGTGTCCCAGGCCAGGTTAGACAGGGCTTGGAGCAACCTGGTGGTAGTGGGAGGTGTCCCTGCCCATGGCAGGGGTGGAACAGGATGGTCTTTAAGGTCCCTTCCAACCCATCTGCCTTGATTCAGTGACTGTCCATTACAGAGGTGGTCCTGAGCTTTACATTTGTCACTCTGCCACTGTAAGTTTTGGGTGTCACGCATCGTCCTTACAGCGGTGCCCTGCACTGTGGCTGCCACCAGTGTTGTCCCACCTTCCTGCTGCCTGGGACAGATGCCCTGGGCTGCCATTGGTGCTGGCATGGGTGTTGCACCTGCCCTGTGGCCACACTGCCGTTTTCTTGTGTTTCTGTGTCAGTGTTCATGATGTAGAAATGCTGTAATGCCGTGACCAAGTGCTGCTTACCAAAACCCCCTCCTGATGAGGTGCAGGGCAGATGTTTCCCCCTGCTCCTCCCAGTGAGTAAGACAGGGTGGTCAGGTCACATCCCCTCTGCAGTGATTGATCTGCTGTTCTGAACTGCATCTGCTGTGAAGATAAAACACAAATGCACGCGGTACTTAAAGTTCATTGTTCTGTTCTGCATTATTTATGTGGAATTAGGAAGGATAAGTAGTTGGTAACAATTGCCATTTACAAGACAGAAGAAAAATAACTTGAGTCGTGGTGCCTGAAATGAGATAATTAAGCAGAGCAATGAATCATTGTAACAAATTTTTGGCAAGTCCCTTTGTCTGTTTCAGATGGGAATGCTTTCAGTGCTTTGTTTCTGAGGATAATCTGTCTATCTCTAAAAAATAAATTAAATAAAAAAAAGCTTTCCATCATTTCAAAGCTGCCAGCATTGCCTTGCCAATGGTGAGCTCAGAAATCAAAAGACAGTGTTCATCATCAGCTTTTTGCTTATTAAAAAAACTTTTCCCTTTGGATGTGCTTGTAACACAGTGCTCTTTTCCCAACAAATCCAAACTGCTGGCAGTATGATGATTGAAAACCTGATTGCCAGAGGGGTTACACAGTTGCCCAGTCTCCAGGGTGGTTTTCTCAGAAGCTCTTCATCAAGGTTTCAGCCTGGTCTTGAACACTTCCAGGAATGGGGTATCCACAGCTTCTCTTTCTCAGGAAGTTCTTGTGAGATTTTTCTTAAAGGGCCATGAAAACCTGGTACTGAGTGTTTAAATGTTGTTCAGTTGTTCCTCTCCTCTTTTTCAGTGGGAGTATGGAGCCTGCTTTCCACAGAGGAGATCTCCTGTTCCTCACCAACCGCATTGAAGATCCGATCAGAGTGGGAGAAATTGTCGTCTTCAGGATAGAAGGAAGGGAAATCCCCATAGTCCATCGTGTCCTGAAAATCCATGAGAAGTATGTGAAGGGTCTGGGGCTTCTGCTGCTGCTGTTTCCCTATCTGGTGTTCTTCATGGGTAAACAAATGGGGGGGATGTCAGTCATGGAAATCCAGGTGCTGTAGGAAGTGACACAGGAGTTTCAGACAGACAAAATCTGTCCTGCTTTGTTTACTTGTAAAGATCACCCAGCAGAAGGCACAAGCTGTGCCAGTGCCCTGGACACTCCAAACTGTAAAATAATGGAATTGTTAGGGTTGGAAGGGACCTTAAAGCCAGTCTCATTCCACCCTGTGCCATGGGCAGGGACACCTTCCACTATCCCAGGGTGCTCCAAGCCCTGTCCAGCCTGGCCTTGGACACTTCAGGGATCCAGAGGCAGCCAGGGCTGCTCTGGGCAGCCTGTGCCAGGGCCTGCCCACCCTCACAGGGAGGAATTTAATTATTTTATCCCATCTAACCCTGGCAGTGGGAAGCCATTGCCCCTGTTACTTCAGGGCCCTTGTTTGCAGTCCCTGTCCATCTCTCTTGGAGCCCCTTAGGCACTGTAAGTGACACCACTGCCTGTCTCCTGTGCCACCCTCTCTGTCCCCAGCTGCTGTGCTGTCTGCTGGAGCACAGCTGTGTTTGTGTATGAAGTGAGTCTTGTTTGTGGGGCACAGCTGTGGCAGAAGGTGTTTTGTGTGTCATTTTAGAGCTTGTCTCTATGTCCTGCTCTTTGCTGTCATGCAGGCTCAGGGCCTTTTGTCTCTCTAGAAGGTTGTGGTGTTGTCCTCAGAGTCTCTGTGTGCTGTTCACTCTCAGCACTGGGGAGGTTGTGTGTCTGAGGGAATGGAACAGGCATTGGTTTCATGCCTGATCAGGGCTTAGTTTTCCACTGCAGTCATGAGCTTTCCTGCTTTGCTGATGGAGCTGTGGCCTCTCCAGGCCAGTCTGTGGGGATACAAGCCAGCTGTGTGAATTGTTGGAGTGAAAACTGAATCTAGAACTGAATCCCTGATTCTTCGAGGCATCTCTGGGAGGCAGCAGCTGTTTGGGGGTCCCAGCATCTGTTTCTGCTCAGTGAATGTTTTCTGGTGGGAGCTGGAGCTGAGCCAGGTGGCATCTGAGGATTCCTCTGGTTGACATGTTGGGATGGGATGGAGAGGGTCCCTTTCCCAAAGCTGCTGGAATATCCAGACCAGTTGTCTGCTCCAGCTGAAGGTTGACCAGCCTTGTGCATGTAAATACACAGCTGGAATCCTGGCTCTGGGGCAATGAAACAATGCCTCTCCCAGCAGGCAAAGCACATTCTTTGCTGTTCAAATTTATTCTGTACCCAGAACTTTGAACAGTGTCAGTTTGCAAAGTGCTGTTCTTTGATACCACTGATTTAAAAATAACTTCAGTTTATGGGCTGAATTTGACATCTGATGTTGCACAAGCATCTTTTGTGATGTTGTAGGAACTCTTTCAAGTGAAATGCAGTTTTCCTCCTCCCCTGTTCTGTGCAGCATTTTTTCTCCAGATGTTGCCCACCCTTCTTTTTTTGTGGCTCTATCTCTAGATATCAGGGTATCAAGCACTATTTTTGTTTAAATGTAACAGGGCCATAGTGCCAATCCTGGGAGGGTGAAACCATTCTGCAGTATTTTAGGTTTTATTTAACTGAAACAACCAAACACAAACCTCATCTTTTTATTAGGAGAGATAAACTGAAAAATCCATATTGCAACCTGAACCTGGGAGCTGAAGGTGGGATTTGGGTGTCAGTTGCTTCTTTCACTACTTAAAGAATAATTTTCTAGTGCCAGTTTGGAAGTGAAAAGTGTCTGCAGAAGCTGGCAGGAGTGTCAGGATGCAGGAAGACAGAAACAGTGTTCTCTATGATTTTGGGGCAACTCAGGCCCAGTTCACATCAATATTGTGTCAGTGAGAAAATGTCTGTTATTTGCTGGCCTTTTCTTCTTGTTTCAGCCCAAAATTGAATTCATTCTTTATTACTAACACAGAGTCTGCATTCCAAATTTACTTAGTGATTTTGGAGCAGGGTCACTCACCTCAGACAGCAGAGAAGTGCACTGGGGGCTTCTCATGCTGCCTCATGGCAGAGCCTTGACTCTGCTCAATAAGGTGCTGCACTCCCACACCATCACTCTTCAGAGCTAAACTACATTATCTGCACCTCTGGGGATCTTTATCTTTTCCCAGACAGTGTTTGTTGTTCCCACACAACAAGCCAGATGTGCTTTGGAGAAAGAGATGTGGGATTTTTCCCCTTTTTCCTTTCCAAACATCTCCTGTCAAGGAGCCTGTTGGTGTTCAGGCATGATGAGAACAGCCTGAGCTCCACAGAACTTCCTGCTTTCCTGTTTGCATTCCATCTGTCACTTCTGGGAGAGCTGAGATTCAAGCACTGAGGATGCTCCTGTCCAGCATCTGAACAGGAATGGCTGGGAAAGAATCTTTTTCCTGGTCAAAGAAAGATTCATCTACTCCTTGATCCTGATTCTGGCAAGCTAATTCATCTCAGGATTAATTAAAGACTAGGGAGAGCATGTAGTGATAATTTCCCTGCTTTCTGCAGGTTACAGTTTCAAGCACCAAGTCCTAGTTCTTTATGAACAGCCTAATTTCCTCTTTTATGTGGAATATTGGGTCAATTTTTCAGCCAATCCAATTTTTTGCCAACCAAAATACCTTTGCAGAGAGACATGGTTTAATTCTTCTCTGCCTGGCTTTAACCCATTATTTCTGAGCTCCTTTTGGTACCCTCTGGCTCTTGCACTGGAAGAGACAGTGAAAAGCTATTTGATTGTTGCTGCCATTTGTGGTGGATTATGTCATATCTGTCCCATCAGTTCTGTCTTTTCCAGGCTGGAGGGTTCTGGTCTGTAGTTTCTTGTTTGGAAGTGGTTCCAGACCTTGTTAATAATTTCTCAACCTTTGCCAGTTCTTCTCTCCATTGCAGAAAAGGATCTGGGGGCCTCAGCAGTGCCCAGAGCATTCCAGATTAGGCACATTGTGAGTTCATGCAGTGTCCTTGTGGTATTATTTGGGTTTTTCTATCCTCCTTTCCTAATCAGTTCTAAGTTCCAGCTTGCTTCTGCCCACTGCTGAGTAGAGCTGTGTGTTTCAATCCCAACTTCTCCTTTAGTGTTGTAGTAGGGAGACCAGAATTCAATATTTGTGTGAAGCAAGAGAAACACCAACACAAGATGGGTCAAAAGCCAAGAGGCAATAGCTGCACCTGCTCTAAAAACTGTTCTGAAATTCTGCTGGAGAGCTTTGCTGGGGCCAGAGTTCATTCTTCCCATGGCAGCATTTTCCATTTTCCAGAAATTATCTGCTTTCTGCTGCATTTGATAGTTTCCCTCTTTTATCCTCCTTGAATTGTAGGATGTGGTTGCTTTTAGTACCCTTGTGCTGCTCTCTCCATGCTTGTTGTAGAGCAGCTTTTAACAACTTTCTGTCCTGCCTTACCTGGCTGTCTTGTCTTTACCAGGCAAAATGGAGACATCAAATTTCTGACAAAGGGAGACAACAATGCTGTGGATGACAGAGGGCTCTACAAGCAGGGGCAGCACTGGCTGGAGAAGAAGGATGTAGTAGGACGAGCAAGAGGGTAAGTGGAGTTGAAAATAAAGGGGCTTTTCACAGTGCTGTCCCCAAAAGCCACCTGGTAAATCCCCCCTTGCTGGGTTTGTAACCTGCCTGAGAGTGTGGAGAGCTCAGTTCTTAGTTTGGCTTAAGCAAAGGCATCGAGGTGTGAGCTGTGTCCTGAGGTGTTGATGCTGGATGGACACAGATGTCAGGGTAGGTGGGCTCAGACTTGATCAGAATTGTCCTCAGGTTTCTCCTGGGAGGCTCAGTGTTTGCAGGCAAGTGAAATCTGAGCCAGGCATAGACTGGAACACCCTCTGGGCTGGTTGTCACCCACTGCCACAGGGAGGAAGAAGTCACCAGCCCACTGATTACAGCCCTCAGGATGCTTGAGTGACTCTCCCTCTGCACCCTGGAGCAGTGTTTGTTTTAAAAAACCCTTTATTCTTCTAGATTTGTGCCCTACATTGGAATAGTGACTATCTTAATGAACGATTATCCAAAATTTAAGGTAAGAGCTCTTCTATTTCCTGCCTGCTTTTCCCACCCCAGCTACAATTCCTTCATGAGAACACAGACAGAACCCTGTGCCCTGCACGTTTTGCTGCTGTAGATGTCAGTGTGCACTCCTGTGTCTCTCTGCTCTCTTTTCCAGTATGCAGTCCTCTTTTTACTGGGTTTATTTGTGCTGGTCCATCGAGAGTAGTCCCTTGCAACTGAACTACGAGATGAAGGTGCCATGGAATTTTCTAGATGAACCTTTAAAGTAGCTGATGGTCCAGTGTACCAGGAGAAAGAAGAAAGCATGCATTTCAAAGCTTCGTGCCAGTTTGGGTTTGTTTTGGTTTTTACTGCTCAAGGGCGAATGTTTTGTCACAGTATTTCCAATGGTTTGTCACATTTTAGCCTTTTTAGTGAATTTTTATATTAAAAATTTGAGCCAAAGTGTTTAGTGCTTGTACTTTGAAGCTGAGCTTCCTCTCCAAGTGCCTCTGGGATCGTGTGCTCAGTCTGTGCCTGGCCGGGCCAGGTGCCCCCTCCCTTGTGCTCACTGAACTGTCCACTGCTGACTTGTGGCCATGACAGTTCCTTTCCAATTCAGAACTGGAATAAAGATTTTGCCTTTTGCCACGGTTTTTGTTATTGCCCTGATGAGAGCAGCCTCTTTGCTGTTACACACTCACTCCCAGAGCCACCATCTAACTTGTTCTCTCTCCACAGAGCAGTAGCAGCTGCTCCTCTCACCTCTTTTTGGGGAATAATCTGTCCTGAGCTGTAGATCATTCAATATTTCTGGGTTTCTATAAATCACTCTGAAATAATCTGCCTAAACACTGCAAAGTGTTGGAGGTAGAAGATGGCAAAGGATTACTTTGTGCATTGTGGCACTAGGTAACAGAAGGATTGAGATGGGAATTACCCACAGCTCTTTGACAGGGATGATTTAGCAGGATGCAATAATAGAAATTGCTTAATTTTTATTGCAAATTGAAAATTGCGATTCATTGCAATTTTATGGCAATTTATTGAAAATTGCAGATTTAAATTGCAATTTTATGGCAATTTATTGAAAATTGCAATTTCCAAAAATTGTTTTGGAAAAGGGTTTCAGGTGTCCTGTGAGCTGGCCACATCTCACAGCTCACCTGAAAGCTACAGACTGCCCTGGGGTCTGAAATAAAAACCCACTGGGGTCTGAAATAAAAAACCCACTGGTATCTGAAATAAAAAACCCACTGGGGTCTGAAATAAAAACCCACTGGGGTCTGAAATAAAAAACCCACTTGTCACCACTGCTTTTTTCTGAGCTTCTCATTCAGGCTTGTGATCCTGCTGGTGGAGGAGTTGTCAGAAAGAGCCCAGGGAGGAGGTGCAAGGCAGTGATGCTGCAGTTGATCAGCTCTTCTCCATGAGTGCTCCAGGATTCCAGAGCAACAGGAATCATTGCAGATGGTCCCTGCAGCCACACACACAGCTTGTGTAAAGCAAAAGCAGTCAGGAAAAGCAAGGACAAAGCCCAGTGGGGTATTTATGGCTGTTTGCAGTTTCTTGCACATGTCTCTCTTTGGGTTTGCCAGGCCTCTCCCATCTCTGGAGGTGAATTGTGCCATTTTGCTGGGTTTGATGTTACCAGGTGCTTTGTTCCCTATGTAGGATAAAGCAAACATCACCTGTAGGGCACTGCAAAGTGTCTACAAACAGCTCCAATCCCCAGCACTGAGCCTTGAGCCTGCAGCTCTGAGTAATCAAAACTTCATCAACAAAATGGTAATAAAATCTGTATCTGTTGCCCCCAGTGTTAGAGCCCTTGAGCGGAAATTTCTTGAGTTAAGGATGGGATGTTCTGTCAGAAGTCAAGCCCAGGCAGCACTGGGAGAGCAGAGAATCTCTGAGAGCTGCTCTCCCTGTAGAGCACCTTCCTGAGGCATTCCTGCCTCTGCAGCTCATGTGGAGCCCGAGTCTGACCCTGCTTTGCCTTGAGCCTGAACAGCTTTTGTGCATAAATGAGTTTTACACACAAAGGGCTGAGTTGAGCTTGTCTGAAAGCTGCTAACCAACACCTCCCCATGAACACTTGCTGGGAGTGCTGCTGCTGCCCTCCAAGTCCTGTCCCTTTCAGACCTTCTCCAAAATTCTGAGTGTGTAAAAGCAGTTTATTCCTGTCACTGAGCTAATTTAACAACAAAAAAAAAGGCTGAAACACAAAGGTTTAACTCTCCAAGTGCTGAGCCTGCAGTTCTTTGGCAGGATCTGTCCAGAGGGTGGCAGCTGGTGTCAGGAGTCCCTGGGCTGGGGGACACAGGGCCAAGGTGAGCTCCTGCAGGAGGGTGTGCCCTGCTCTCACCTGGTGCTGTGGGAAGGAATTGAACAAGTGTGGTGTTGTGAGGTCCTTAGGATGAGGTGAGAGATGAGAATTTGACTCTGTGTTCTCAGAAGGCTCATTTATTATTTTATGATATGATATTATATTAAAAGAAATAATATTCTAAAACTATACTAAAGAAAGAGAAAGGATACATCAGAAGGCTAGAAAAGAGTGAATAATAAAATCTATGACTGAGCAGAGTCCTGACACAGCTGGACTGGGATTGGTCATTAAGGAAAAACAATTCACATGGAACCAATCAATGATACACCTGTTGGTGAGCAACCTCCAGAGCACATTCCAAAGCAATCAGAGAATTATTGTTTACATTTATTTTCTGAGGCTTCTCAACTTCTCAGGAGAAAAATCCTGGTGAAGGGATTTTTCAGAAGATATCACAGTGACAAACAAGTCAAAAGAGTGCAGGGTGGTTGTGGTGAGGGGTGGCAGGAGCCCCTGCTGCAGCCCAGCTCCAGAGGCTTCTCTCCAGGCTCTGCAGGCACTTGAAGAACAGGAACAATTGCCCTAAAGCAGGGGCTGCCATGTGGCATTTGGGAATTCATCTCTGCAGGCCCTGTTGTGCCTGTTCTCAGCTCTGTGCAGCTGGGAATGTGGCTCTGCTTCCTGCAGTTGTGAAATGGGGACTTGACTCCAATAGGCAAAGAATAATTTGGCATCAACCTCCTCACAGCTCTAACACCCAGCACCTCCTGTGCCACCTCCCATGGCAGCTCCCTCCTGCCTTCCAGCAGAACCTTTCCTGCCACAGTGGGATGAGGCAGTGCTGGGGATGAGCCTGCACAGCCTGGAAACTGGGGCTATGGGGGCAGGATGACACAGAGCTGTTGCTGGCTCCATCCCCACCAGATTTATTCTGCTTTGCTGAGCAGAAAAGGCACAGAGTGAGCAGGATGTCTGGCTGGCTGGGTGCTGATGCTGAGGTGTTTGGGAGCACTGCTGAGCTCCCACAGAGCCAGAGTGGCTGGTGATATGTCACAGACATCCTTTAGGAAAAATCCTTTCCTCAGGATTTTTCCTCCTGAGAAGCTGAGAGGCCTCAGGAACAAAATGTAACCAATGGTTATCTGCTGCTGTGGAATGCAACAGGTGCATCTGGGACTGGGCTCGTGGTTGTTTCTAATTAATGGCCAATCACAGTCAGCTGGCTCAGACTCTCTGTCCCAGACACAATTTATTATTCTATTCTTAGCCAGCCTTCTGATGAAATCCTTTCTTCTATTCTTTTATATAGTTTTAATATATATCATAAAATAATAAATCAATCCTTCTGAAACATGGAGTCAGATCCTTGTCTCTTCCCTCATCCTAAGACCCCTGTAAACACTGTCACAGTGATAGAACTTGATGTGTTTATGTTTTATTTCAGTTTTATGCTACTTTTTTTTAAAAGGTGAAACTGTCTGGGCAGCTCCAGCAAAGCCAGTGCCACTGGAGGCTCTGGAAATGGATGGAGATCTTCATGTCATGACAGGAATGGGATTTGCTCGTAAAGTACGTGGGTGTTGAGAGCTCTGGTTTATAAAGGAGAAAAAAAAAGAAGGAAAAATCTGCCAGGGCTGATTGCTCCTGTGTCTGTTGTGGTTGGTTACAGCCAAACAGGGCAGGTTTTCTGTGAGCAATTCCAGTGCTTAATTACAGCTCAGTCACATCCTCAGTGCAGGGCACAGATTCCTTCACGGGCAGGAGCTGTTCCATGAAGCAAAGCCATGCTGGGCTCTGTCTGATGGCTGCTGCATTTCCAGGGGGTGCTTTTCTTTTTGTGTCAAAGCTAAATGCATAAGCAGGAGCGTGATGGTTGGGAAGTGAGCTGTGAGGGGTGATTGCTGCAAGCTGGAGCTCTGTGACACAGAGGCTGGGTTTGTGTATTTATGATGCTTTAGTGCACGGTTGTTGGTTGAACAGCAGTGAGCATCACGGTGCTTCATCCAGATCTGATGCTGCTTATTGCTTTGCAGGGGTTCACAGAGCTCAGGTTTTGTCAGATGCTCAGTTCCCCACTGTCTTTAATGAGATTGGGTAATTTCATGGTGGTTTTCGTGCCCTTAAAATCAGAACAGATCAACTGGGTTTTTTTCCAAGGAGCATCTTCAAGATGAAACCTGGTCCATGCCTGAAGACCACTGTTTGTTGGAGAAATGCACAACATAAATGAAGTGTGCAGCTCCCAGGACAGCCCAAAAGTTGGCCAGGAGAAGGAGAAGAGACAGAGAAGGAGGAGAGGAGGTGCTTAGAGCACCTTGGGGATGGCTCCTGTGCCAGGGCAGGGGCAGAGCAGCTGTTGGTGTGACCCACACGGTGCCAGTGACTCAGGGCTGAATCAGATGAGGAATGTCCTGGTTCCATCCCCCAGGAAGGTGCACTGGGGTGATGCCAGAAGGGCCCAGCCTGTGCCATTCCCACCATGGCAGCAGCTCAGGGCGGGAGTTGATGTGTGCTGGTGACTGATGTGAGACTGTCATCTCTGGGAGAGGAGAAGCAGCAGCCACTCTGTGCTTTCAGCCAGCTGAACAGCCTGCTGCCCCTTTGAGCTCTCCCCAGCCTTGTAACACTTTGGTCCTTTTGTCATCTGCACCCAGATTCTCACCTGTCAGGAGCCACAGGTCTCTGCCAGAGTAGATCCACCAGCCTGAGCATGTTGGATTCACATGGGACACAGGGGCTTTCCTGAGAAATCTGCCTTGGTGGCTCTACTGTGCCCTAATTGGGTGCCTTTGCTGTGGGTTCCTGGTGTGCCCAGCTCTGAGAGTCCCTCTTCACATTTCCTTACCTATCCCTCAGTTTTTGTGAAAACCCACCAGCTCCATCACACACAGTCCTGCTTCCCCATGGAGCTGCCTCTGTGCTGGCCTGCTGGTTGGGCACATTGTGTGTCAAACCTACTGCAGCTCATGGGGAAATCCATAAACTTGTTCAGTTCTAGCAGGTCCTGTGAGTGCCTGATCCAGCAGGGTTCCCTAAACCTCAGGGGAAATAAACATCTTCACAGAGAGCAGTCTGAACAGGGATGGACTAGAAATTCACCCTTTGTGATCAGAACCTCTGTGATCCAGGATGGAGC